TTATATTCTCAAGTGGGGTCAAGTCAATCAATATCAACCACATAAGAAACCAAGCCAACTTGGTAACTCCAACCCTTTCATTTTAGTAACTCAATTCTCCTCAAAAACAAAAGTGTACTGAAATTAAAGAAAGGTTCTTTTTTTTTCTTCAAAAGAACTCAAAGATTGAATCTTTGAAGAAAGTGACCAAACCCCAATTCTTGAAAAGGAAAAGGGTGTTAAGAGTCTGTTGCAGTCATTGTTGCTGCTTCAGTAAACTCACTTTTTCTTCTATCCCATTTACAGAGAAGAACAAACAAACAAACAAAAAACAACTCAAATCGCTTTCACTTTTCAAAGTTTCTTCCTCTTTTATCTCTTTGCTATATACTGCTCTGTGTTTGAGAGAGAGATTTGATAAGAGTTATTTCATGCAAAGCTGGCAGTTTTGGAAATTAGCATGATGTTACTGCAATGGTTTAATTTCTTACTATATTAATACAAAGAATCAAAATCAATATTCTACCAACCAAATAGATTACTCCCCTCCTTTTCTTCTTGGTTTAGTTTTAAAAAAGAATGTTTTTTTAAGCAATTATTAAAGGGAAAAAAGATAAATACATCCAAATTATCGTAAATGGTATGTAGATATTCCCGTCATATTTTTAGGACATTGGTGCTCCTGCCATCTAAAAACTAGAGCATATATGTCATTCACTTTAACGGAAGACTAAATACGTGGTGCAATCTTATTCGTTGATCCGATATTTAATAAATGTCGGATCAGTGGATAAGACTATGACACATGTATGTCCGTTAGTATAAATGGTATATATGCTCTAGTTTTTGGACGGCAAGGGCACCAATGTCCCAAAAATATGACTGAGGGTATCTGCATATCATTACGATAGTTCGGAGATATATTTGTCATTTTTCCTCTTAAAATTAAATTGAAACAAAGAGTATTGTATTGTTTAGCGCTAGAGAGATTTAATTTATAGTAAACTTATAGGTTGTTTGGCAGTGTGTTAAAGTTATGCGGGAATTCGTTACGAGAGAATTCATGTATTATTCTATGTAATGTATTGATTTTACAAGATTTAGTTATTTCATTTACAGTAAAACATCTATAAATTAATATAGGTGGGACCATGAAATTTTATAATTTTATAGAGATATTATTTAATCGATAAATTAATATTTATCAATTTAAAGAATGGTTTGAGATTTAATGAAGGTTAATTTTGATTATATCAAAATCATTGTATCTTACTAATTTATGTATCATATTTATTGATTTCACATAAATATTAAATTTATTATACATAAAGTACAATGTATGTATATGATTCATTGTAATATATTTTTTTGTTAAATGATTCATTGTAAAGAAATTCAAGAATTCAATCATTCATTGTAAAATTATACATAATGTTCATTGTTTCTTAATAATCAATTATTATTCATTGTATTTTTATTAAAAATATTTGATGTATGATGGTGAGAAAAAAACTATACAAGCAACTTAGGAAATTTCTTTAAACCATATCCAAAAATGGCTTCTCATTTAAAAGGTGTCACAAAATCAACAATGACAGATCAAACACGTAAAACATCATGTGAGTACAAAAGAAATCATTCCACATGCACTCAAAAACATTTACAGTCGTGACTTAATGAAAACTTTCATTTGAAAGTTAGTCCAGGCACAATATTAAACACACTCAAACGGCCAGCTAAATATCTTACAGCTGACTTAGAAAAAGGAAAGGATATCAAGCGACACAAGCCAACAAAATATCCAGACATGGAGAAAGTTGTTTATGAGTGGTTTCTCCAATATCAAGACCGTGTGAATATAACAGGAGAGTTAATTTTGGAGAAGGCAATAGATGCAATGAAACTTTTATATCCTTAGCAAGATTTTGAGCACAAATTATCTCTAGGTTGGCTTGAAAAATTCAAGCTAAGACATGGTATCAAGTCATTTTGTCGTTTCGGAGAGAGTGGTTCAGTTGATATAGAAGACATGGAGACCGGATTGAAATCCATAAGAACAAAAATATATCAATTTCCTATGAAAGATGTTTTTAATATGGATAAAACTAGTTTATTTTACAGATTATACAAGCCGATCATTCTCTTGCTACGAAACAACTCGAAGGAAGAAAGCAGGACAAAGAAAGGCTCACAATTGTTATTTGTTGCAATGAAGATGGATCCGAAAAAATTCCTTTATGAATTATTGGAAAATATGCAAAGCCACGTTGCTTCAAAAATGTCAAGATGAACAACTTGAATTGTCACTATCGTGCAAACAAAAGAGCATGAATGACAAGTGTGCTTTTTGATGAATATATTCGTTGATTTGACCACAAAATACATGGTAGACGAGTTTTGCTTATGGTAGATAATTGTCTAGCCCATAATAGAAATATTGAAGGACTACAAAATGTTTAATTGTTTTTCCTGCCACCCAACATGACTTTCAAAATTTAACCTTGTGATGTTGGTATAATAAGAGCTTTCAAGATGTATAATCGTAACATATTTTATCGTAGGATATTAAAAGGTTATGAAGTGGGACAAACTGATCCAACAAAAAATAATATTTTGCATGCTATCAATTTTGCAATCCTTGCTTGGACAATAAATGTTCAGCAAGAGACAATATATAGCAAATTATTTTCGACACTGCAAAATTCGTTCGGGGAATACAATCTCAGAGAATTTTATTGAACGCACTTGTGAAAACGTCATTCATGAACTTGAGGTCATGATTAATGATCTCGATTACTACAATAAAATGGATGTCACTAACCTGTTGGATTATCCAGGTGAAAGTGATACATGTTTAGAGGTCCAGAGCTTAAAGAAATTGTGGATACGATCGGAAAAAGCAATGTTGATGATGAAGTTGAAGATGATACTATATATACCTTTGGAACCAGTTACGCGTAAGGAAACACTTAGCACATCTAGAACTCTTCACAATTTTATGGTGTAGTTCGAAAAGACGACACGGGAGTGCTTGGACGGAATAAGAAAAGTTAGAGATGAGCTTCAACTTAATTTAAATTTTAAGAAAAAACAGAACACAATAGAATCATATTTCACTAAATTGTCTTAGATATATTTGTACTTTTAAAGAATTACTAATTTATGATATTAATGGGACCATATATTTATATAGGGGTTTTCTGGAAATATATTATCTTATTATCTTAGCAAAATTGGTGATTTATTCCATTGGCCCAAGTCGAGACCGGAGGAAAATATTATTTTGGAGAGATTATTAATTTACCGAGTATTAATTTATAAAGGTTTTACTGTATTAGTTATTTCACTTTCTATCTACCATGAAATAATATATAAATTCTCCCATAACTTATAAATTTAAACCAAACATCATATTTATTTAATATATGAATAACTTACCTCTTAACGATCTATCAAGCATAGTATTACTTATGCAAAATTTAATACATGCATAATTCATCTCCAAATCAACTATCAAACAATCATTTAGGATACCAACTTTGCTTGTGTACTCAAATTAGTGTGTCAATTTTAAAATATTAAGTATGTTATAAATACACTATTACACATTTTTTTTGGGATAATTTTGAAATCAAACATACAACTTGTAAGTAGTTCACATAGGGAGCTTACAAGTATAGCTTCCCGAAAAGCCTTGATGCAAAAACTTTCTTAGGCTTGCAGTCAAGCATACAACTTGCAAGTAGCTCACACACAGAGCTTGGCAGCAACTTTTGTAAAGTCTTGCAACAACTTTTTTTTTCTATATATAGGTAGACAATTCAATTCATTTGTATATCAGTTCGAAGTTGAATAATATATCAGTCTCTCACTATACTTGTCATTCAGCATTTTATGTGTATATGTTGAAGAAGTACCGTTTTGATGATTTTCATGTGATTATATGGACCTCGATGTAATTGAATCAGAATCTGACTTTTGAGGAGAAATATGTACCTAATTTGAATATGCAGATTTGGAAGTTCAGGTCTAATGAGATAGCATCGGTGAAGGTGCAGTAGAAACATCATCCAATGGAAGAAGCCACTTAGGAGACCGAGCTAAACATGTGTACCAGATATCCCAACCTTTCAATAGTTAAGTTACTTTCTTTCTCTTTACGTTTGAGGACGAACATGCATTTTAGTGGAGGATGTAACAATCTTTATGGTTCTTTTGAGTTTTATTCATGTTTTCTTGTTTTGGAGGTAATTGGATGGATATTGAGTGAGTTTTTCAATTTTAAAAGTAATATTTTTTTACCAAAGTCAACAATCTAGATGAACAAGCATGGATTCAAATTTTAATAGTCACTACTAAAAACTGCCAAAAAACGATGCACTGAAAAGCGACGGACTGCGTTGCCCAGAAAAACGACGACTTTTGCCACACTGTCCGTCACATTTTAGTAAAAATAATTATTTTTTAAATTATTTGACAAAAAGCGACGGACAACATCGCTTAGTCCGTCGCTTTTTTTAGCGGATTTTTGCGCCATATATATATATAAAATTTATAATTAATTATTTAATATAGGTAGAGACGCTGTCCGTCGCTTTTTATTAAAAATAATTATATATAAATTTAAAAATAACCACGCTGTCCGTCGCTTTCTATTAATTATTATTTAATAATTACTTTTTAAAGAAGCGACAGACAACATCTTTGTGTCTGTCGCTTCTTGGTCAAAATTGATGGTCAAATATTTTTAAAAAGCAACTGATAGTGTCGCATATTCCGTCACTTTTTGGTCAAAATCTTGGTCAAACATTTAAAAGAAAAAGCGATGGACATAGAGACGCTGTCCGTCGCTTTCCTTAAAATATCTGGATACCCAGACGAGTTTTTTCCACATTCTTCCTTCTCTTCCTTCTCTCTTCCTTTCTCTCTTCCTTCTCTCTAAAATCGCTCCAAGCCCAGACGTTGTCCGTTGCTGCCGTCGTTGCTGCCTCTGTTGTTGCCGCCGTCATTGTTGCTGCTGCCGCCGCCTAGCTCCCTCTCCATTGTCTCTAATTTCTCCTTTAATTGAAGGTTAGGGTTTCTTCAAATTAGTTTTTAAATTTTTATGTTTGATTTTGTTAATTAGAGAATGAATTTGTGTTTTGGATTGAATGATTGATTGTGTTTGTTAGATAATGAATTAGGGTTTCTTGATTTTAGTGTTTGTTTGAATTTGAAAATCTTTAATTTGATTGTGAATTGGAATTTTTTAAAATTTGATTGTTAATTAGTAAATTGTTAATAGAATGAAGTTTGAATGTCATAACATATATAGGATGAATGTTTGAATGTGATGAATATAAGAGGGTTTTTTTGAATTAGTTATAAACTAATTTTTGGATTAGAAGTTTATACATGACTAATTTTATAGATTGGAGATATGAACTTGAATTAATTAGAATTAACTTGAACTTGGAATTAATTAGCTTGAATATATAACTAATTAAATTTAGAAATTAGATATGAACTTGAATTGAAAACTTGAAATTATTAAAACTTGAATATATATATATATATATAACTAATATTCTTGGATTTGAAGTTTATATTTAACTAATTTTAGAACTTTCATATGAACTTGAACTTGAATATAACCAATTCATGGATTAGAAGTTTATATATAATTAAGTTTAGAAATTAAATATGAATTAACTTGACTTTAGAACTTGAACTAATTGAACTTAGAACTTAAAGGTTATATATATAACTAATTGAATTTGTGATTTTAAGACTAGTTTGAATTTGGAATTTAGGACTAGTTTGAATAATATTTGATATTTTAGGACTAATAGTTTGAATTTGGGATACTAACTAGCTAGTTTGAATTTGGAATTTTAGGGGTTTGAATTACAACTTAATTAGAACTTATAATTAATTATAACTTGAATTTACTATAAATTGAACTTAATTAGGAATATGAAAAGACTATTTTGAATTTGAAATTTAGGACTAGTTTGAATAATATTTGATATTTTAGGACTAATAGTTTGAATTTGGGACACTAACTAGCTAGTTTGAATTTGGAATTTTAGGGATTTGAATAACAACTTAATTAAAACTTTTAATTAATTATAACTTGAATTTACTACAAAATGATCTTAATTAGGAATATGAACTTGAAATGTTGTTGACTTTAATGTATTATTAGAACTTAATTTTATTCTTATTAGAACTTGGATTTTAGTTGAACTTAATTAGAATTTTGTAGTACTTGAAAATCTTATTGACCTTAATTAATTTGAACTTAATATAAATTTATTAGAACTATACTAAACTTAACTAATTTATAATAACTTGAAAACTTAATTAGGAATTAATATAAACTTAATTTTGATCAACTAATTAACTAGAACTTGAACTTAATTAATTAGTATTGATTAATTAATTAAGCTTAAACTTTGTAGATCTTGAACTAATTGAACTTAATTAGACCAAACAAAGCATATTTTGAAGTTGAACTTAGAATTGAACTTGAAATTAGAACTTGAACTTAGAATTTTAACTTGAACTTAGAACTTGAACTTGAAATTAGAATTTGAACTTGAATATATATATATATATTCTTGGATTTGAAGTTTATATTTAACTAATTTTAGAACTTTTCGTGCTAGGCAACTGAGGAAGCTCAACATCTACAAAAGTTGATACAAGACTATATTGCTTCTTTTCATCAAAGTAGGAGATAAGGTTGGTGCTTCTAAATTTCAAGTACAATTGTTTTCAATAATGTGTTTGTGTCCATCTAGTATGGATACTTAGCTTTAAGTTTGTGATAATTTTTTTGTGTCCATCGATTGTCTGTTAAGCACAAGTACCAACACTAGTTGATCCTATTGATGACAAAATTGATTTTCTTGCAAGATCGATTTGTGTCCATCTAGTGTTGACACTTAGCTTTAAATTTAGAAATAATATATTTGTTAAGCATGAGTACCAACACTAGTTGATCCTATTGATGACAAAATTGATTTTCTTGCAAGATCGATTTGTGTCCATCTAGTGTTGACACTTAGCTTTAAATTTAGAAATAATATATTTGTTAAGCATGAGTACCAACACTAGTTGATCCTATTGATGACAAAATTGATTTTCTTGCAAGATCGATTTGTGTCCATCTAGTGTTGACACTTAGCTTTAAATTTAGAAATAATATATTTGTTAAGCATGAGTACCAACACTAGTTGATCCTATTGATGACAAAATTGATTTTGCAATTTGTTTAAATAAGTTAAAATAAATAATGTGGTTTAGTAGGTGAATTTAGTTGTTGGAATTAAGTCAATACTAAACTAGTTAAAAGTTTATTAAAGTTGTTAAGTTTGTTTTAAATAAGTTTAAATTAAATAATGTGATTTTGTTGGTGGATTTAGTTGTTGTATTAATTCAAAACTAAACTAGTTAAAGTTGTTAAGTTGTTTAAAATAAGTTAAATTAAATAATGTGATTTTGTTGGTGGATTTAGTTGTTGTATTAATTCAAAACTAAACTAGTTAAAGTTGTTAAGTTGTTTAAATAAGTTAAAATAAATAATGTGGTCAAGTCAATACTAAACTAGTTTTAGGGCTACTACTAATTTGAATTTGGGATTTTAAGTAATTATTATAAATATATATTAACTATGAATTAATGTAGTAAAATTATTATTAAATTTTTTCTATAATATAATTGAATATCTATATTTTTGTAGATGGATCATCGTTTTGTGGATGTATAATATGCATTATGAAACTAGTGCTGGTTTGAAACCTGAGTTTATTGACGGTGTTAGAAATTTTATTGAACATACAATGACACTTGACAATTTTCAAGAATAAATGGATTGGTTAGGTGTCCTTGTAGTGCATGTAAGTGCTTAAATTTTTTTAAACCAGATACAGTTATGGTTCATTTGTATCGTAATGGATTTAATCCTAGATATTTTGTATGGATTGATCATGGAGAAAGTGATGGATTGGATGGTATGTTTTATAATTCGATGTCTGTGAATGTATATAATATGGTTGCACCACATGGCCAAATTAGGGTTGAACAGGTTAGAGTTGAACATGATAGAATTGAACATGATAGGGTTCATGAAATGATCAATGATGCTTTCGGGGTTCAAGGTAGGATTGAACCGGAACAATATTTTGATGAAGCTCCTAATGAAGAAGCAAGACACTTCTATGATCAATTAGAAGAGTCTAGTCGTCCACTATGTGAAGGGAGTCCACATTCTGCCTTGCCAGTTGCGGTTAGATTAATGAATATTAAATCAGATTGGAATGTTCCTAATGCGACTATGGACTCAATGGTTGATCTTTTGGGTGAACTAGTTAATCCGGAGTTTAACATACCAAAAAACTTCTATTAGGCAAAGCGTTTGGTGTCCAAATTAGGATTGACGTATGATAGAATTCATTGTTGTGTTAATGTTGCATGTTGTTTTACAAGACTGATAAGTGTTGTGTTAATTAGAAAATTGTAAGTTTTGTGGACATGTTCGTTATAAGAGGACTCCGACTGGAAAGATGGTGCCAGTTCAGGCGATGCATTATCTACCTCTCATTCCTAGGTTAAAGAGGTTGTATGCATCGATGAGGTCTGCCCCACATATGAGATGGCATCGTGAATATAGAAGGTCGTCAGGTGTCTTGTCTTATCCATCTGATGGTGAAACATGAAAGCATTTTGATAATGTATATCCTGATTTTGCTAGTGAACCAAGAAATGTTAGATTGGGGTTGTGTTCAGATGGCTTCACACCATTCTCTAATAATGCTTCGCCTTATTCATGCTGGCCGGTATTTCTTACTCCGTATGATCTTCCTCCTGAAATGTGCATGACCAGTCCGTACATTTTTCAATGTGCATCACATCCGTATGAAAGCGTTTTGACTTATGATATATCAACTAAGCAGAATTTCGTTATGCGTGCTTCTTTAATGTGGACTATTAATGATTTTCCTGCATACGGGATGTTGTCTGGTTGGATGACAGCTGGAAAGCTAGCATGTCCATATTGAATGGAAAATAGTAAGGCATTCACTTTAAAGCATGGCAGAAAAAATACATGATTTGATTGTCATCGCCAGTTCTTGCCAATGGACCATGAGTTTAGAAAGATGAAAAATGCATTTAGGAAAAATAAGGTTGAAAGTGACATCCCACCTCCATTACTCACAGGTCATCAAATTTGGGATACAGAAGCTTCACCTTCTAGGCTTTCTGGATATGGTGTTGAGCATAATTGGACCAAACAAGGCATATTTTGAGAGTTGTCGTATTGGAAGGACAATCTGCTACGACATAATCTAGATGTGATGCACATTGAAAAAAATTACTTTGACAATTTGTTTAACACAGTGATGGATGTTAAGAGTAAGACAAAAGACAATCCAAAAGCTAGAATGGACATAAAGGAATATTGTAGGAGAAAAGAGTTATGGTTGCAGGAATTACAGAATGGTAAAATAGTTAAGCCAAAAGTCAGTTTTTCATTCACATTGGATGAGAAACGTGAAATTATTGAGTGAGTTAAAAATTTGAGGATG